GTTGATTGGATTCTACGTAGGAAATGATATTAAATGGTTGTCTGACAATTAAATTTCCATAACATTGAGGTCCGAAATATAAAGTATGTCCATCATTCAATTTTCTGAATAATTTTACAATATCCATGTGAAAATTGTAATCTTTAGAATAAGTTTGTTGGGAAATCTTCTCCATTTCTGCCATCAAATCAACATGAATATTATAGAGAGGTGAATTTTTGGTTGCTTCCCTAAACACAAATAATGGAAGAGTCTTTCGAATAGTTTCGATTGTTTGCGTAAAGATATTCTCCGAGAAGGGAATACTCTCAACACATGATCTAACAGATTCCACAGGAACAGGAGTACCTTTACCATATCCCAACCAATGAAGAAATAATATTGTGAAATTGTGAAATAAATTGATGATCAATTAGTGATGTGAAAAAAATCAAAACCACTCACCTGCTTCAAAAGCACAAAATTGTTGTTGTGCAATAACCGACAAGGCGGAAATCAGCAACAAGACAAGAATTGATGCGAGAGTGAAAAAACTCTTGTGATGAGATGTTGACATTTTTTTTTGGAATGGAAACTTGAAAATCTTGAAAAGAATCTTTCAAATTTTCATACAATTTCACAAAATCTTTATTCGATTTTTATTGATATTTGTGGACCTGCCAACTTTCAAAAAGATTAAAGAATCCAGCTCATAAACATTGAAAAACATGTTTTCTAAAATTTGTTGTTTGAAAGATGAGAGTTATTTCTGTATTTCTTTTAAAATAATCTTTCCAATCGATTTGGGAAAGTCAATTCTTAAACACTTGTCGTTATAATAGCTTATTCTTTCCAAATTGGGCATTTGTGATACAAGATTCGAAACTCCAATCTCTTCTATTGCTGTATAATTAACAACTAGCTCAGTAATCGAACTGAATTTCAATAAATGTTCTCCAAAATCATTGTAAATTCCATTCTTTTTAAATATTTTCAAGTTTTTAAGCAGTTCAGGTTTTAAATATGAAAATACTTTTGGTGTCCAATGACCATTCTCAAAAGTAAGTTCTTCCAGTTGACCATTTGGAATGAAAATATGTCTGAATATCAAGTTTATATTTCCTATTCTAAATCTGCCGAAAAAATACTTGATGAATTCACATTCCGAACCGAATAGTTTCTCTTCAAATTGGAGAAAGGATAGAATATCCTTAGTAACTTCTGAAGGAATCTCTCGATAGAGAAAATCAACTTGATATTCAGACATTTTTTTATTTGAAATAGTCAACAGTTCAACAATTTAATCTTTGCAGTTCTCAATTGATTTAATTCCTCCATTTATTATTGCTGATATTTATGTCTTAATGAATAATGGAAAATGACAGAAGGGGTTATAGCTCAGTTGGTAGAGCGTCTGCTTTGCATGCAGAAGGTCTAGGGTTCGATTCCCTATGACTCCAATTTTTACTTTAATTCAGTAATCGTAATTTGTCATTTTGATTCCTGTTCCAGACTTTTAATGTAATGAATTGCATTTGGAATTCCTTGTAGAGCTGCTTTTTTCATCCAGAAAATTGCATGATTAACATCCACCAAAGTGCCCTCGCCTTTCAATAACATGTTTCCAACATAATATTGACAAATTGCATGACCATTCATTGCTCCACTCATAAATAATTTAAAGGATTCAGTATAATCTTGAAGACAGCCCATTCCCCTATCGTACATTGTTCCTGCATTGTATTGAGCTTCTGCATGATTTCGTGTAGCTGCCATTAAAAAGTATTTCAAAGCCCAATGGATAGTTCACTTCAACTCCTCTACCTGATAAATACATAACTCCAAC